AAAACCTCCACCCCGTTTCCAGGCTAATGGAGTCAAGAAAATCTTCATCTTATCCATACCACTATGATTTGGTATGTACAACTCTCAGGAAGGCCAGCACTGCCCTCAGTGCATTCCACTTTTGTGTTTTTATTTGTTTGTTTTTATTTATTTTTTTCTGAGACAAGGTCTCCTGTCTCTGTTGCCCAGGCTGGCATGTAGTAGTACATATCTCACTGAAAACTCAAACTCCTAGGTTCAATCAGCCCTCCTGCCTCAGCCTCCTGAGTAGCTGGAACTGTAGGTGTGCACCTCCATACTCAGTTCATTTTTAAAACATTTTTAAAAGAGACAGGGTCTCATGATGTTGCCCAGGCCTCAAACTCCTAACAGCAGGCAATCCCCACTCCACTCCTCACCTCCTAAAGCTGGAACTGGAGATAATGGCTTTCCAAAAGAGACACTTACTCCTAATTAGTAGGACAAGCTGAAATCACCAAGTGCCACTGTGTCGTCAAGGTACAAGGTCCACTTTTAAAAAATAAAACAAAGTATGCCTTTTTTATGGGAGCCTGGTCATTACAGACATCATTTGGTGGCAGGCTCTCACCTCAGATCAGTGTGTACTTGTAGGCAAGCCAACACCCTCGCCTCCTGGCCTCATTTCCCAGGCCTGTTAACACAACGTACTCAGGAAACGCACTGGCCAGGCAGGTTATCTGCCCTGCACTCAGAAGCACACATATGGAACCTCTGAGAGCACAGGCTGCTGCCCTCATTCTCCAGGTAAGCAAAGCACTGGCCTTCGGTCCCACCCTCTCCTCTTCAGTGAGCAGCCGTGGGCCCCTCCCCACTGACTTGGCAAGAGCCCAGAATAAGGAGGGCGGTGAGGATGGCCTTCCAGCTCCATCTCAGCCACTCACTTCTGCCTCCACAGGACTGAGGTGTGATGGGCCAGGAGGTCCTGGACCTGTGCTAGCAGCTGCCAGCAAGGACACTTCAGATACATGGGGAGAACAGCAGTGTGCCTCTCGAACATGGTACAGGGGTACTTCCAGCCAGCTAGTCCCCCAGCCAGTGCTATTTGTAACATCTCTCAGGGCCTGAGGGTCTTTTTCACTCTGATAACCTGACATTGGCTGTACTCTCAAGGAGCCAGCTGCCTGGCAGCCCTATTCAAGGGCAGGTGCTTTTTGTTTGTTTGTTTGTTTGTTTGAGACAGAGCCTCAAGCTATCACTGTGGGTAGTGTGCAGTAGCTTCACAGCTCATAGCACCTCTAACTCCTGGGCTCAAGCGATTCTCCTGCCTCTGCCTCCCAAGTAGCTGGGACTACAGGGCACCCACCACAGTGACCGGCTATTTTTTGGTTGCAGCAGTCATTGTTGTTTGGCGGGCCCAGGCTGGACTTGAACCTGTCAGCTCAGGTGTATGTGGCTGGCGCCTTAGCCACTTGAGCCACAGGTGCGGAGCCAAGGGCAGGTGCTTTTATCAACAGCCCTGATTCAGAGGTGCAGGAGGGGTCAAGGCTGCCCTCAACCCCCATAGCCCATCCAGGACTCTGTATCATGACTAGTCACTCTTAAAAGCCCTCCTTATCCAAGTCTGTGTCATCACTGTCACATTGCTGCTGTCAGCCAGCCTTTTACATGCTGTCCTGCCTTCAATGACCACATGGCTTGGGTCTCCCGTCTACCTACTTGGGGTTCTCCACTTTGCATTTGATGGTTGGGTGGTTCTCCCATGTTAGAACCATCTGTGAGCTTCCAAAAACTCTCATGCCCAGGCCCTCCATCCCCATGCCCATTGGTGAATCTCTGGGGTGGCACCCAGGCACCAGTAAAATCACCAGGCACCCAGGCACCATGCTTGGTAAAGCCCCAGCATGATCTGACTGCAAGGTGTAGCCAACGCAGAGAACTGCTGAGAGTCTCCCACCTTTACCCACAGGCTAGAATTTACGTGCAGGTGAGAACTCACTGTCTCAGGCCCAGAGCCTCCCAGGCTGCCGCCCACCCTCCTGCCAGTGCCTGGCTGCACAAGAGGACGCCTGACCACTCAGAACACCCCCTTCCCAGAATTTCCCCTATTCAAGATAGTTCCCATTTCAACTTGACCTGATGTAGAAAGAGTTCACCCTGCTTACTAAGCACAAGTCCAGAGCATCTGCAACACTGAAGGTCTGGGGGAGGGAACTGGAATCCTGAAGAAATCCAGAATTGGACAAGCATGTGAGACAGCAGGGAGATGCTTCCAAGCACCAGTTTCATCCCCACACCCGTAGTGCTTGCTGATTGCTATCATTTGTTGGAATACATGCATCTTTTAGCATAAATATTGAAACACAACAAAGGAATAAAATAGAAATATTGCAGACAGGTGACAAAGGAATCCAACTTACTCTGCAAACATACTGGCTTCGTGCTCCAGGCGAGAAGGTCTGAGATCGGACAATAGTACTACTGCGAACAAAAGGGGACCCTCGGGCCCGGCGGCTGGGCCGCTCCTGCAAAGCACCCGCAGCTGCTTCTGGGAAGAGATCTTCTGTGTTGGTTTCCTTATCAACCTGGAGAATAGTTCATTTGTGACCATGACTTCTTCTATAAGCACTGAACTCAGAGGAACAACTGTCTCTTTGACTTCTCTATTAGAGATAAAACTGGCGTATCCCTCAGCACACATGCAGAACAGAACCACTGATGTTCCCCCCACAGGGATCTCTACTTTTCCATCTGTTCATGTGAAAAACATCTAGTGTCATCCCGACTCCTGATCTCTTTCACACACCTTATCTCTGGTCCAAGAGCAAATCTTGCTGGCTCTCTGTACAAGACTAAGTGGGTTTTGACCATTTGTCAGCAACCTGTCATCTGAGTCACCATCATGTCATGCCCAAATCAATGCAGGGGTATCTCTCTGGTCTCTCCTATTCCACACTTCCCTGCCCTCGTTCTCAACAAAGCAACCAAAGAGATCCTTGGAAAACTGAAGTCAGGCCCTGCTATTCTGCTCCTAAGCACATATGTCAAAGGACTGAATACAGATGTTCAAACAAATGCTTGCACACAAATGTTTGTAACAGCATTATTCAAATAGTCAAAAGGTAGAGAGAGCACAAACATCCATTTATGGCTAAATGGATCAACAAAATGTGATCTATCCATACAAGAGAATATTCAGCCATGAGAAGAATAAACTTCTTACACATGGTAAGATTTAGTGTGGATGAACCTCGGAAACATTATGCTGAGTAAAAGAAGTCAGATACAAAAGGCCACATGTCATATGATTCCACTGATAGGAAACATCCAGAATAGGCAAATCCACAGATAGAAATCAAGTAGATTTGGGGGGTTGCCAGGGGTGGGGGTGAGGGAATGGACAGTAATTACTTAATGAAGACAGGTTTGACTTTGGGATGACTGAAGTGTTGTGGAACTAGACAGGTGGTAGGCGCATACTTGTGAGTGTACTAAACGCCACTAAATTGTATGCTTTCAAATGGCGGTTTATGTTATATGAATTTCACCCTGACAAATTATTAAAAAAAAAATACTGACAAAAAACCCTTAAGTCAGATCATGTCACCACTGGGCTCAAAATGGCCCACCAGTTTTCTACACCTCTCAGAAAAAAGCCAGACTCCTGAGCGGGCCTCACTCAATCGAGCTGTACTAGACAACTCCTCGCTCCTCCCTCCCACACCCCCTGGCAACCAGCATTCTACTCTTCGGGTCTGTGAATTTAACCACTCCACATACATCCTCTGAGCAGAATTGCACAGTATTTGCCTGGCTCTGAAGAGTGTGAAAAGAATAAAAACCCAAAGGTGTCTTCTAGGCTCTCATTCAGCAACCAGCAACACAGACTTCTGTAACCAACATGTGGGGTTTTTCCCTCATCAACAAGCAAACCAGACACCAGCTGGGGGTCCTTTAATTCAGTTCAATTCTGACACTATGGGCCTAGAAAGAGGATGTGACTACCCCACCCCCACCTCAAACCAATCACAAGCTCCAGGTTATTTTGCCTGGGCTTCTGACCAACTAGCCAAAAACAGGGTTCCTACAACTCCCCTTCCTATGTTTAGATTAATTTGCTAGAGCAGCTCACAGCACTCAGGGAAACACTTAGGTTTATTGGTTTATTATCAAGTATACAGAGGAAGAGATGCACAGGGGCAAGGTGTTCGAAAGTGCATGGAAGTTCTGGGCACCACCCTCTAGGAACTTCCATGTGTTCAGCTATCTGGAAGCTCCCTAAACTCTGTCCTTTTGAGTTTTTATGGAGGTGTCAGGATTGATTAAACCATTGGCCATTGGTGATCAACTCCACTTTCAGCCGCTCTCCCCTCCCAGGGAGTTGAGGGTAGGGCTGAAAGTCCCAACCTTCTAATCCTACTTTAGTCTTTTCAGATGACAGCAGTCAACTCAGTGTACACAAAGGTCATTTTAGAGATTCTTAGGATCTCAGGTCTTGAATGCCAGGAAATGGGTCAAAGATCAAATATACATTTTACAATATCACACTGGCTTATTTTACTCAGCATAATGTCCTCAAGTTTCACCCATGGCATAGTATGGGACAGAATTTCTTTCCTTTTTTTTTTTTTTT